AGAAAGAAAAATTGGCTTCTGGATACGATTTACATCACTCACATGTCAATGCAAATAAGGTGATCTGGCTGCTCGGTACTTCTTTTGCCCCCAAACACAGAAAAACAACAGAGATCTTTGTATCTTAGGTGGTCCGATGAATGTGTTTTTGCCCATATATCTCTTCTCCCTCTTAATTACAATAAGTTGGTGCCATAATAGGATTGTCAACTACCAAGGAGTGACAGCTTAAAAGAAACGCTTTCCAGTTGAAATGTGCCTTTGAGGGCCGATTTTCCAGAGCTTTCTTGCTTCACTTTAAAGCTCCATCCAATTCAGCAGCCCTTTCAGTGTAGCTGGGATACAAATCCATGCCACTGCAGCTATCACAGGCCCAGAATGAGCATAAAAAGCTGCATTACATCTTGCTTCGTTTTTTAAAGGTTCTCTTTGGCTTCTCATGTGCAGGGGCCCTCTATAGCGTAAAGCGTCCCAGTTTGGTCTGCCAAGTGTCTGTGTTACTGGGATTTGTCATAGGGAAGTCAAAGAATCGCTACGAAGACAATGCTAGCGGCCACCATTTCGTCGTAGCTCAGACTCTCTATCTTATTTCAGAAACGCCATTGTCATGCTGCTGCCTGCCAAAATGCGTACCCTAGGCCAGCTACCAATCAGCCATTTGCAGGGGTGATCTTTTTTTTTCAGTTAGGCATTTGTGCTTTCAAGGTTCTTTACTATTACTCCATCTCTCCCACCTATTTATTTTCCTGTTGCAGCTGACAGTTTGACAGATTCCAGGAGTGCTGGTGTTTTAGCCAGCGTGTCTTGGAGGCAGTGGCAGCGGATGCAAGTGATAACCATCCCCAGCCAAAGGCTACTGCTGTGCCTCGAATCCCTTTGTGGGTGATTTCAAGGCACGCTCACGCCATCCTGCACATCCGCCCTCCTAGAGCCTCTCCACAAAAGAGACACATTTTGCAACCTTCCCCTCAGATGTTTCTACACTTTTGTTAAAGTAAAGGGGAAAAACACATTTTGGTGTCGCCTCAAGCAAACCTGCTGATGATTTTCACTGGTTTAGAAATAGATTGGGTCAAAGCAGAGACAGATGTAGGGAGGAGAGGTAATAGGGCATACTAAAGATGCCTTATGGTCTTTCCTGGTGCCGACCACACAAGCACACGCAAGTATAAATCCTAGAGGATATATTTTCAAAAGCTTTTGGTAATAAATTTGGAATAGATATTTCTAACTCTACTTTAACATTAGAATACACTTAGCTAGAAGAAAAAAGTGCATCAGTGTGTTTAAAGGACATCTTTCACTGTAGTTCCTTTTAAATTTCAACAGACCCAGGAAAACTTCATAAGGCTCAACAATAAACTCATCCATCCTAGTGCTAATTTTTACCATGTACACTCACTACAGTATTTTCTCGAAATCAAAAGCCATAAATGTAATGAAGCAGCTGCACTGCTACAAGGAGCTGCTAACGTTAGATTAAATTTGAAGGACTTCATCATCCTGGCAAAAATCTAATTCAGGAAGAAAACAGCATAATCTACAAGATGCATACTGAACCCATATGACACATGTTTCTTATTATCTCTTTCTACCTAGTGCCGGCACAAATACAAAGAGGATTTTGGGGAGAGAGTTCCCAGCACCTCATTCACCTCTCCTCACCTCTAGCTCCCCTCCTTCCTCTCTGTCCAAAGGTCTGATAAAGCAGGGAGGCCCAGTGGCTGCACTGTTCTCCACAACGAGCCAGACCTGGGAATGAGAGGGGAACTCGTAAAAGATAATCACGCTTTATGAGGGCCCCTCAAGAGGTCTGCTGAGGGAAAGGCCATTTTTGTCTTGCAGTTTTACTCCAGTCTAATGGGGAGCAGGAGAGCAGAGTACTCAGGCTACCAGAGATCACAGTCTAATTACACAGGGGACACAAGGGACAAGGTATTCTCCACATACAACCTAAATAATCCCATTTACTGTCAGACCTGTACGTTTTTCCACTTTTTGCAGAAAGCTGTAAGGAGAGGAATTTAGAAATTAATCTGTGCAGCTTTTTATTCTTTTGCAAAAAATATAGAAGTTATGATTAACTTTAAATACTGGAGTAGATTTTTCCAAGTCTCATGGCTGTTGTTCTTACACAATAATCTTATATATCTTCTATATTAAGGGTTCTGTGTTGGGTTGTTGAGTTTATATTACCATTGTTTATTGAATGGAAGTTTCTTGGGATAAAGATATCCATATGTCAAAAAGGTAAAGACAGAGTTTTTATATAACAATATGTTTTTCAAACAAAACTACATACCCTATCATAAACTGGTACTGGTTTACCTGATCTTTGTACAGGAAAATGTACAACACAGATTTTTACACACATTTTATGAAACAAATCTCCTTTAAATTAATCCAATCAAACAAAATGAATGGAAATTAAACATTTTTCTTCACTGCACATTTTAGTTCAGTTCATCATGGACAACAAAACATAAAATTTATTTCATTTTCAATTTCTTGTGAAATCACATAGCACCGCATTATTCTGTCTGCTTTTCGGTGGAGTTCATGTTATTCTTTATGGACAAACTTCAGAAACTCTCAAGAAGACCAAAAGAAAAATGAACTGGATTTAAAATGGACGAACCCTCCTTTGAACAATTTGCTATTGGCAGCACATAACTTCTATCAATCCAAGTGGCACAATTTGCATTTGAAATGGATCTTATACATGCCCAATCAAGAACGATAAAGAGAGACAAAGGATAAAAGAGACAAGAGGGCAAAAATGAAAGGCAAGACTCTGAAAGAAAAGACGAGCAAACAGAGAGGAGTTAGAAGGGAGAAGTATGTGAGGGAGCAGTAAACAAAGAGAGCAGCCAAAAAACAGAGAGGAAAAAAAATTGACTGCGTGGGTGAGTTGGTGGTGCTGAAGAGGAGCCAAACCCTGCGGCCCTCACCTCAGCCACATCTTCATAAGCTGCAGTGCCTCCCTCTCCCCAGTCCAGCCTCTGGCCCTGCAATAAATACATTTTCAATTAAAAGCACTGGGGAACAAAAAGGAAGAGGAGGAGGAGAGGAAGGAGAAGGGAGGAGGAGGACCCTCAAGAAGTCTGAGTGAATCCCCTGGATGACACCTCTGGCCACGAGGCTCAGATGTGCTTACAGCGGAGGCCCCATCATCGTGCCCCGGCACACGCGTGCAGTCTAATCACTGGCTGGCTCTTTGTAGCCAGTCAGGCGTTTAACAGAGCCTGAGTCTGAGTCCAGAAGTGCACCAGCCAGCACTTTGATGGAACACCTGCAGTGAAATGAGACCTTTACTGGACACGGTGCAACCTGAACCTCACACAGATGGAGGGCTGCGGGACCCGCCACAGGGTCAGGGGCATGAGTGCAAGTTGGACTCCAGACATACCACCACCGGTGCCTTTGAAGATTATTATAGGTGGCTGTTGTCAAGGCTAATACAAGGTTTACGTCAGTGCCACTGGGTGTAAGGGTGATAGCAGAGCGCACTGAAACCTCTGACATAGTCTGCACTCCTGCTATGCACCCCGGCCAGTGAATATAGACGATCTGGTTTTACGTCTAACATGCTTTTCTCTGTGAATCTGCAGTGCCAGAGTAATGCAATCTGGACTGATTACAGACACTGTACTACATGCTTGATCAAAATGGTTTCGGTGACCTAAAAATAAACAGAGAGTGTGTTGTGTATTTACTTTCTGCTCTGTAAATGGTAAATTGTTTGTCCATGCCACCATTTATGCACCAAAATCACTGATGGGCGGCTGGAAACTAAATTATTTTGTATTTAGTTTGATACATTTGATACAAATATGAACCGGTCTCACTGGACAGAAAAACAAGACATCAGCTGTCTGCAAAAACACACAAAAAAAATAGCCTCGCTTACTTGATGACACGGCAAAGATGTCAGAGATAGCTCTAACTGCTGTGGCGGCTCACACCCGGAGGCAAAAATTAAACGTCCAGCCACAGTGAGTTTACCACTATATGTGGATTATACAACGTCTGAAAACACCTATTGAACAGTGTTTGCTTTTGAAGAACTTTATACACAAAAATAACTGGCATGAACCAAGATCAAATGATAAGTTCAGATGAAAAGAAAAATCCTAGTTTTCCCAGACTCAGCTTATTTTCACAGTTGAAGACAGCTTAGCCTCAGCAGTTCTGGACACATTTTCATCAAACCTGCTACACCAGCTTCATGGTCTACTGTTTCATGGGTTATTGTGGATCTGTTAATTGTGCAGACCCATGCAAATGTAAGACAGGTTTTTAATTATTACAGAGGCATTGATAGAGCCTGCAAGCAGCTTGGGAGGGGCCCTATTTTCCCTGTGAACTACTTACATTAGTGGATATTATATGCCACACACATGTAACAACCAACACCACAAATCAGGGATACATTTAATTAAAATGTCCTGAAATATGTGCAACACAAAGTAAGCAGTTACAAATGAAGGGCTGGCTTAAATATTTAACATGAAACACAATCAATGGGGCACCATCATTATACGATGCACACAAACCAACATTCCAACACTAGTCTATGGAAATGTTGGGTATCCCTGATGTGACACAATACACCAGTTGGCAGGCATTATAGCCTCCAAATATGGGCCGTTGCAGAGAAGTCAGTGATGAATTTGTCCGCAGGTTTGGTTTCGGCAACACAAAGCAGAGTGCCGCCTCAGCTACACGGGCTGTCACTGTGCGCCGCCCAGGGTCACGGTCTCTGTTCTGAGCACCGTGACCGGTGCGGTAATTACCTAAATTGGTGAAGAAGAAAAAAAAAGCTTCAGCATTCCAGGAGTGTCACAGGGGCTGGGTTTATGTGGGCAGACTGTGAGTTGGATTCTCTTATTCCAGGGTGGATGTGAAGGGATTTAAGCACACAGGAATTTTCCCTTCTCCTTATTCTCTCCTGTCAGCATCCCACCCATCACCCCACCCACCCCTTGATCTGCCCCTGGTTCCCAACAGAGGAGGAGAAAGGGGCTGGGAGGGGAGAGACGCGCTGGAGGTCAGGAGAAGTATGTGGTCAGGCCTCCCTGGTCAGAACAGGTCAGTGGGTTGGGTGACCTCGGGGTCAGTGGATGTTGTCGTAGCTGGTGATACTGTAACAAGAATGAAATGTCGTCAGATCAACTTATTAACTAGCAATCGAACAATTGGTTTATGAAGATGTAATTGGCTTACAGCCATAAAAGGCTAAGCAAACCGCCTCTGCTTCAGTCCTTGGCCCCAGAGCTGGTTATGTTTCACCTTTCCTCTCCCAGCCTCCTGGCAGTAGCAGCAGCAGCAGCCAAGCATGCTCCCCAGAGACAACAAGCTAGCTAGCGTCATCACAGCTAACGAGGACCACGCTTTTGCTGTTTCCACCAGGCTTGCCAACAGTTCCCAGACAGGGCCCCATTTCACGGCTGCCTGCTCAAGGTGTGGGACCAAGCGAGGGCCCCATGGCTGGTTGGGGGCTGTGAAAGAGAAATAATGTGTTTGGATTTTTGTTCATGTAATGTGTGTGTGAGAAAGTTTTGTGACTTATTAGGCTGCTGTAGCCATAGTTTTTGTATGCATGAGAGGTAGCTGTATGGCTCATAGTGGAATTTCCATTTAATTTCCCCTTCATCCAATCAGCAAGCCTGGGGGCCTCCAGCCTAGTCAGGCAGGGGGTTGTGGGAAACGCGGTCTGACTGCGGGAGCTGATGTGATTTAGGCCTTGCTTGAAGGGAACACATGCCTATTTTGACAGACGCTGGCCTCCTGCTCAGACTGAGGTCTGCAATTACACAGGACATAAACACGGCGCGCTGAGGCCAGGCTGGAGCTCCAAGGGCCCCTGGGAACGGAAAACGCTCCACAACTTTGTGGAGGCCGCAGAGGCCTTGGCAGGCGCCCACGGACGGCCATCGCGTGACTGTGGGAGAAGGATGACTAGTGCGTAACGCCAGGGAACTACACTGGGAGAGATTGGCTGTCTGAGAAACATCCAGAGACACACACACACACACACACACAAAATGTATGTCTTGTGCGGTAATATAGGACATTGGTGTACTTATAAATGTGCATGTATGTCACTCGAACATGTAGACATAACAAATAACAAATATTCTAGGCGCCACATGTTGTACCTGCATACTGGATATATTTGGACATATAAAGCACACGCAGACGATAACAACACACACTTTCCCTCTCATCTCAAACAGGCCACATACATGCTTATTAACCAACACAACTTTCTCTTTTTCTGTCCCAGCAGTCAACATCAGGCCTCACCTTTCTCCTTGTAAAACAGCTTTAAACCTCCTTCTCTCAAGCTGCTTGCTTGTTCCCTCCCTTCTCCTCCCCCTGGGTTGTGTGTACGGGGGGGCAAAAGTGCTCCACCACCCACCAGGGTCCGTGTTCGGTTTCCTACCCAGAGAGGAAGCACCACTGGGCCTAAAACAATTACCAGTTTAAGTGTGCTAAATCAACTTGCATTGCCGAAACAATGCGACGGCTGCCACTGTTATTTACTGTAATGAACTGGGCCCTATTGTGAGCATGGCGCTCTTTGGGGACCTCTCGCCAGGCTGAATGCAACAAGCCCTGAATGGATGTCAGGCTACATAAAGGTTTTTGAGCAACAGTGAGAGTGTTGCCTTGTGGATAAAAAGAGTGGCGGTGAGATCATATTTACCCACCATTCAGCCTGCTTTATATACGCCCATCGGCCACATCCTATTCGGATAAATCAGGGACAGAGGGAGCGGCCGGCAGACTAGAGTGTATTTTCCACAGTCAATTCGGAGCGGGACCTGACACAAGCATGGGAAAGCAAATAACCCGGATTAGGCTTCTTCAAAGGCCTGGCCCTGTGAAAGATGGGAGCAGGAGGAGCAGACAAAGGTGGGAGTTAGCGGTACATACACACACACACACACACACACACACACACACAGACTTACTGTTATGACAGTAAGACACACACACACACACACACACACACACACACACACACACACACACACACACACACACACACACACAGAAAGTTGAGATGGTGTACAAAACTCCATCCAGCTGAGGTGTGGGTTTGTGTGGTTGTTTTTGAGTTTTTCTAAGACGGAGGATCAGGCACATGAGGAAGAAGATGGTTGTGTGTGTGTGTGTGTGTGTGTGTGTGTGTGTGTGTGTGTGTGTGTGTGTGTGTGTGTGTGTGTGTGTGTGTGTCTGTGTGTCTGTGAGGGTTTGGGGAGGGAAGGAGATGGGGGTAGCGTGAGGATTGCATGTTGAGGCATCTACACTGCAGGAACAGACTTCCCCTCACCTGCTTGGTGTGTGAGTCTAACACTCAGCCAAGCCAAGCCTGGCTTGCCAGAGAACCACTGCCAGGCTGTGTGTGTGTGTGTGTGTACACGTGCATTTGTGTGTGGAAACTTCATCCCATCTTTGAGTGCAACTAAAGTTCAACCGAGGATGTCTGTGTTTCATTAAAACCATCAGTGTATCTGCAGACAAACACAGACCATTATAAAGCTAGTTTCCCTCAAAACGTGAGGGAATCTGACTGCCGCAGCTTTGAGGAGCTCACTGAGACTCTCCACAGCAATTTATAACGTACACACGGTTTAGCAGCACACGCCATACATTACTCCAAACCACAACAATATTAATGGTGCAGCAGGCTAATTTCTCAGTGATGGGGCAGTTAAGATTGTCAGTGCTTCCCTGACATGAAATCATGTTACACACATGTGCTACATACCTCTGTACACAGTCTGTAGTGCTGACATGACTTGCACTCAAAGACAGCCCTATTCAAAAGCAGGAATGTTCACAGCAGTGTGTGTGTCAATGTGTGTGTGTGTGTGTGTGTGTGTGTGTGTGTGTGTGTGGCGATGGGGGGGTTCAGAGTTATTTCTCCTCTCTCCATGTTTCAGTCCATTTTTCTTTCTTTCACTTCCTATCTCACTATAAAAATGCTCACCCTCTTTTCCCAAGAGTCACAGTAGCCTCCAAAATTTACACACACATACACACACACACACACACACACACACACACACAGTCAGAGGCATGTAGAAAGCATGAAAACATACACACACACGCACGCACGCTTACACATGCAGGCACATAGCACTCCTCTCCCTCAGGCGGTCTGGCTGTAAGATGATACCTCGTCTCGGAGCATTTCGCACATGCCTTCCCGGACAGTTCCCACACTCCCGGCCGCCTCAGCCTGTCTGACCTTTGCCAAGCCCGCCACCCTCCCCACTGCCCCCCTGAGCCTCCTTCCTCCTTCCCCAGCCCTCCCTCCTCCTCATCATCTTCTCCCAGGGCCTGCGGTTTGGACAGCTGCGGCCAAGCTGGCTGCTCGGCTTGTGGAAAACATCCGCCACACATGGAGGACTGCACTGATCCTTCTTGGCCTCCGCTGGCTGGCTGGGTGACTGACTGGCTAGGTGACTGGTTGCCTGTTTCCCAATACTGTGAACACATTTGATCCACCACTATTTACGTCCCTATGCCCCATCCAAGACCTCACCCACTGAAAATAATTTGTAACATTTCGGGGGCATTTTTTAGGTTTTACGGCAAGCTGTGGAGACAGATGAGAAAGAAATCATGTGGCATAAATGTGGCTTTGTTGTTGCGGTTACATGGGTTGTACCTCACACCACCAGGACCACCATAACGACTCCAAATCCTTATATTAACTTTAATTCATACAGTGAAAGATGGCTGATTAGATTCATACTTTCAAGGAAGTGGTTAGCTTTGCAATCACAGAATCTTGACTTTGTGTTTCTTTCCAGGTTTTCTTTTTCTGGTCAAAAGGTTGCATAATGTTCAGTATATTAAGTATAAAACATCTGATTTCTGACATAACTGTGACTTCTTTCTAAACTGGTTGTTTTATAATAATTATTTTTATTAAATTGTAGTGATCTTTTGAAAATGTGTTCTTATAGCTGAAAACTATTTAATTTATATTGTAAACTACATTGTTCTCACTCTGACAGACTTGTTTAAAATAATATTAGTTCTCCAGACTGGTTACAAGGCTAAAAAACTTGTTAAGTTGGATATTTTTTGCAGTGCACGCCTAATCCCCTGCAGCATGGCTCCAATTTAAGGCCTCCCCACCGACATAGTGTGGTACATAAACAGGCCTGGGTTACAGCCACCCCCCACCCCCCCCCCCACACACACACACACACCATCTACCTCACTACCCTCTCTCTCTCACTCTACACACACACACACACACACAGCCGCCACATATGAGACTGATTTTGTTTTGGATCTGGACTCTGGCCACTGCTTGGAGCTTTTTTCCTTTTCATGCGTGCGCGCACACACACACACACACACACACACACACACACACACACACACACATTTGTGCTTACTGTAGTACATGCATGAATGGGGGCGGTAGACTAAATCAGATTCAGGAAAGGTACAGTATAGTGATGGACCTGTAGACGGGCTTACTCGCAGACTGCATTGGCAGACACACACAGTCAGTGAACTGTTATAACTCCCTCTCTGAGTCCCCTCTTGGATTGTGTTGCTGGCGACATTCTCTTTGTTGCACACACAAACACAGTCAAGTCTTTCCTACAGTTTCCTCACCTTCCCTTCTTCACACAGGGATGAAAAATGAAGTGTGATGAATAGAGGGAATGGTGTAAGATGGAGGATTACACCCCTGGCTGGAATTTGGAAGGGAGTAGCTTTACTGTAAAGACAGAAAAATACAATCTTGATGGTGTTGCCGACACCTTGCATCACATTTCCCCTCTGTTTGAGGCAGGATTATGGTAGGGAACCAGAGACTTGGCAGGGCGCTTGCAGCCTGACCTGAGAATCAGAGGATTCCTCCGTGTTTGTGGTTGAATTCAGCTACAGTGTGCACACACAGTCTCTCAAGCAAACACATACTAGCCTATCTGCTGGGCCACTCAGTGTCTTGCACCAAATGGAGGGGTGCAGCATTTTTTTTCATACAGAGCGAATTTTAGACTCAAAAGTAAAGCAGCTATTTATTTATTTTTTTTTTCAGTTAGAAGTTTTGGGTCTGGTCAAAGTTTCCGTATAGTCAATAGACTTCTGGATATCATTTTTATGCTAGTCCTGGCTACAGCGGGACTTCTAAAAGTTCAAATATGTGCTTTTTGTAATAAAATTACAACAGAGATTTGACGTGATATGATATATGATATATTTAGTTTGTTGGGACTGAAAAAGCTACTAACTGGCTTTCAACCGAATACAAACCATCTTTGGAGCACTGTTGCAATTTGAATCTTGTCCGAATGCTGTAAATAAACCTCTTGGAGAGCTGAAGAAGAGGAAAGAAGTGTTATTTAACTTTGGCACCTCCTGTATATTTTGGGAAATTAAATTCATGAGCAAACATTATGAATGGGAGGATGTGGCGATAAAACTTGGGGAAAAACTGATGGCTTTTTAATTTCAGTTCTGAAAACAGATTTAAATCACTGTGTTCAAACATGGGATTGGTAGTGGGGTGCATGGTGACGGCAATAAGAAAAACTGCACACCCACGTTCAGACTGCATCCCTGCATCCAAACAATTCACACATACACACACACCCACATAAACACTCATTTCTCTGCCCATCCTTTTGCCCTCCTCCTCCTCACTACTTCCATCCATCCACCCGTCTCCCACGAGGAGCTCTTGCTCCAAGGCTGCAGTGCAAACGCTCATATAAAAAAAGAAAAAAATTGCTCACCCTGATGATGGAAAAACCGACACCGAAAAAAGCAAGAGAGAAGAAATGTAGTAGGAAAAAAGTGTTAAGTTGAAAAGCGAGCATTTTCTCTTGCTCTGAGCTCTTGGTCCAGGCTCAGAGCATCCCTGGATGCCAGAGTCTTTCATCATTTGGCAGCCTGGCTCTGCAGTTCAGTTTTACCTCCTGGCTGGAGGCAACCGAAGCACCACTCGCTCTCCACACAGCAAGCAAGAAAGAAAGAAAGAGAGAGAGAGAGAGAGATGGAGACAAAGAAAAAGAGAGAGGGAGTGAAAAGCAGTCTTTCATGCAAAAAACACCTCTGGAGTCATTCATGGCCACGCATAGGCCCCTCTCTTTTTATTCCGTGCTCTTCCCTCTGCTCCTCCATCGCTCTCCTCCGTTTGCTTCATTTTCTGATGTGCTTTAGCTCCAGAAGTGAAATGCTTGTCATTATATAATCTGCAGCAGCGGATAGCTCCCAGTGATGGAGATGTTAAAAGCAAAGTGGGGGAGATGTGTGCTAGCGAGGCAGAACAGAGTGACCTCTGATGTCCTACTCTCCTTTTTGGAAGGAAGCAGACTCTAGCTGGTATGATCGCTGAAATACAAAAAAACAGCCTTGTTCTGGCTTAAAGACTGCGTCGTCTTCGTAGGCGATTTCAAAGTACACCTGCTACCCTGTTTTGCCTGTTTTCTTTATGAGGCTCTCTGAAACTAAAACTCCACAATACTTCAGGCTGTTTTATCCCTCCTTAACTTAGCTCTATTGTATTTTTGGTTAAGTTACAAAACCCGCAAACTCAGTTCTGCTAAAACCACCAGGGGTATGAGACTAATTTATAGTTTGCCAGCAACTACAAATCCAACTAATGGCATTAGAAATGTAGGTATTTTAGTACAATTATTGAGAAGTAAATAAAACAGATACTTAATTATACAATCATACAAATACAATGCATACACAGTGGGGAACCATGCGCAGGGGAAATAAGATCACAACCTCCTGCCAAGCGAGTAAACTGCACCGACAGCGCTGAACAGTCTTTAAATGCTCTCCACTGCTGAGAGTGAACACAGGTTCCCACAGGGCTTGATAAAGCACCCCTGCCATATGCATTCTTTGGCCATGGATATGCCACCATGAACAAGACACTTGAGCATGTCAGGCCAGGCTGAGAGGGAGACTGATGTATCTCATCATTAGGACCGATGGCCTTCCCCTGCAGCGAGATATATGTTCCTACTGTGGAGGCCCAGCGGGACTTCACTGGCACCCCGCTAAG